GGGAATGAACGCGCAGTCCTACTAGACAAGAAGAGTGAACCCCAAGTGACTTTTCTCAATACCATGCGATTTTGTAAGAAGTGGAGCAAGCACGCAGAGGATGAACAATTATATGTTGCTTTTGTTCATCCTACCCATGTGCCTTCTACTTTCACGGCTACGACTAATTCTACTTCTAATACTTCTACTTCTGCATCTACCTCCACTTCTAGTCCGGTGACCCTACTTCAAATTCAGTTTCCTTGGCCTCTAATTTGCAGCATGGGTTACATGACCCTTGTTCTGATTCTCCACCCCCGGAAATACCAGCAAACGTCCAAAGCCTACTCAACCAACTTCCGAAAGTCTTGGCTAAACCGCGTGGAGTCCCCATGCGTTCAGTCAACCACACGATCGAGCTGATCGAATGCAGTGTTTCTCCAAAAGGTTGCGTGTACCGCATGGGATCCGACGAATTGGAGGAACTTCAAAGACAAATCGATGAGATGATTGAAAAAAGGTGGATAAAGCCTAATGAATCTGATTTTGGTGCACCCGTGTTGTTTGTCCCAAAGAAAGGAGGCAAACTTCGTATGTGCATTGATTACGGTGGTCTAAACAGCATCACAAGAAAAAATGCTTATTCATTGCCACACATAGATGATTTGCTTGATGTTGCAGGTGGGTGCACAAGATCGATCTCAAGTCTGGCTACCACCGGATTGAAGTCGATCCTACCGAGCAGCACAAGACTGCATTCAAGACCCGCGATGGGCTTTACAAATTCACGGTAATGCCCTTCGATCTCACGAATGCACCGGCCACCTTTCAAAGTCTCATTGACAAGGGTCCTCCATGAACAAATTGGTCGATTTGTGGTTGTCTATCTTGATGAATTCTGATTTTCAGCAAGTCGATGGAGGAGCACATGAAGCACCTGAAGGAAGTGTTCAACATCCTCAAGAAAACGCAGTTCCATCTCAACATAGAGAAATCTGAGTTTGGGAGGGACAACATCATCTACCTTCGACACTGGTTGTCTACTGCCGGCCGTGAGCCTGAATCAACCAAGGTTGAGGTCATACGCAAGTGGCCTCAACCAGCGAAAGTCTGTGAACTGCGTTCCTTTCTTGGYCTTGCATCAYACTATCGGAAGTTTGTGCCCTKATTTTYTATCATTGCTYGCCCAKTGTCTAAACTAACTAGCAATAATGTATCTTATGCGTGGAGCGATGCATGTGAGACTGCCTTTCAAGCCTTAAACCACCACTACCTCCGAGCCTGTTTTTGCCAATCCTGAATTTCACTGCACATCGAGTTTTGCCGAGCCTGAGTCCCATTGTATATTCTTTTCTGGTACTCGTCGGAAACGGAAAAAAGAAAAAAAAAACAACCAAAGAAAAGGTAAAAAACAATGACGTTAGGGACGTGAAAGTAGCTGTATACAAAACATTGGGTACACGTGAGGGTATGCGCTGCCAAAGGGCATTAGTACCCTCAACAAAACATGCCAATAGGGAAAAAAGAAAAAAGGAAAAAAAGCAACAACTCTTTGGATGTGAAAGCAATTGGATACAGACCATTGGGCATAAATGAGAATACCAACGGGCGTTACAATCCTCGACAAAACACGGTTGTACGGGGGAAAAAAAAACAAAGACAGCAACAACTCTTTGGACGTAAAAGCAACTGGATACAGAATCTTGAGTACATGTGAGAGTGCCCCGTTGGTTCCAAGTGTCAGYTGTCCATGGAAAGCGCCCTGCCTCGTTAGCAGGGCACTAAAACTRAATTAAAAGGGGGAAAAAAAAACACCAAAAACAAAAAAGGAAACTAACGATGATTYTGGGCAGATGCATTCCTGGCGGCACTACTGTGAGCACACCTCCTTCATGGCTTTCCCTGRCGTTCTTCCTTTCAACTCTGCAGTTTATTTTTTTTAATCTTTTTTTCTCCAATCGGGCCCACAAGGCCCAAATGTTTTCTTTTTGCCAACCCTCGCCCAGACCCCCGAACTTTGCGGTTGAGGTCATTTTCCCAAATGGGACTACACTTTGGAAAGGTAGTGGTGGTTTAAAAGAGGCTTTGGTGAAATATCCTGTACTCCGCATTGCAGATTTTAAACTCACCTTTGAAGTCGCTACGGATGCAAGCCAATATGGAATTGGCGCAGTGCTGCAACAAGATGATGATGATGGCTTTGCGTCCGCTCGAATACTACAGCAGATGCATGCCCAACGAAAAGGTAGCTACCTCCACCTACATGCGCGAGCTTTACGCCTTGCGCGAGGCTCTAAATCGTTGGAGGCACTATCTTTTGGGACGCCATTTCAAAGTTTTTTCATATCACGAGACTTTGAAATGGATTAAGGAGCAAACTACCTTATCCACTACATTGACTTGCTGGTTGCATGAGATCAACATTTTGTATTTTGAACTGAAATACAAGAAGGGCTGTTATAATCAAGTTGCTTATGCGTTGTCTCCCCACCTAGAGTATATGACTTGCCTTGTGAACTCCTACGACCTCCGGACGAAACTAAAGGAGGAACTCTTGGAACATCCGGATCTCAGTTCAATCCTTGAGCAGCTACGGGCTGACCCCCGCAGTCAGCCTGATTTTCATGAATGTGAAGGTCTGGTCTTTCGACGCTACGGAAAGAATGACTGTCAGCGCTTGGGGCAGGAGGAGCGCCCAGCTCTCCACCATAGCTATGGTGGAAGAGCGAGGGTAGGAGGAGGAGGAACAAGGGGGACTAGGAGAAGGGATTGCCAGGGGTACTTACCTGGCTATGGTGGACGCATCTTCATCACCTTGGTGGACGCTGCACCTGGAAAGCCCCAATGAGGGTAGAGCTACACCAAGAGGCTTCAAGAATGAGTCAGGCACGGCAGCCTGAGTACAAGCAGCCATAGCTTCTTTGCGTTGTCTTTTGCATAGGAGGGCAAGGCCCTAGTAGTCCGCCATAGCCTCGGCCTTCATGAAGAGGAAGAAGAAGATGGCCATGGCTAGGGTGGACCTCATGTGATACCTGCAGTAGAAGAGGGATTCGGACATTGATTCTGGTTCAGGCATTCAACATTATGATTATTATTTCTTGTTTGAATGAGAGGGGAGGAGATAGGGAGGAGKAGAGTGGTTGGCRAAGAAGAAGGGAGTTATCATTGGTCTATGCTGGTGTACATCATCTTCTTCTTCTTTCTTTCTTCTTCTTCTTCATCTTTCCCTCTCTCTCCTCTCAAGTTCATTYATTTCTTTTTGCAATTGGACGGCATGGTACTTTCTCATAAATGTGTACTTCAAAATTGGCCAGGATCATAACAAGTGCAATGATAGGCAAGTCAATCACCCTCAACCTCGCCCACACATGCAACGAGCATCCAGATGAGTGTTCACTCTTGGAACCAATAGCCGAGACACAAGAATCGCACGAGAGATTGGTACGCAAAATATCTTTATTATACCAAGAAAGTGTTCATGTCTTTTGCGGTCTCTGCCGCTCACACAGACTCAGACTCGAACCAGGTATGTAACTGACTACAGCTCCCTCTCCCTTCTCTCTCTCTCTCTCTCTCTCTCTCTCTCTCTCTCTCTCTCTCTCTCTCTCTCTCTCTCTCTCTCTCTCTCTTGTTCTCTCCCTCTCCTGCCTTGGATCATGCACTGGATACATCCGCTAAGCTCAGACTCAGACCTTAGTGGCTACGGCTGCCCTGCTTCTCTATCAATACCCTAGCTATGGTTGACGTTGGTGCTCTGTTCTTCCTCGAGCGCTGTCTTGTCTTGCCCAAGTCGCTTGGTCACACAAGCAGCAGCAGCGCTTCTGCAACTTCACGAATGAACAACTTCCGGGCTGCTGCACGGTAGCAGCTAAATATAGAAGTTGGACTTGACTTGGCTGACTTCAGACYGGTTCCGGTCAGCCGCGGCCTGTCTGCTGCAATCATTTTGTCCGTCTGGAAGCTTCSCGGACTTTCCTKGGACATCCTGCAATTTTTGTGGACTTGGGKACTGGACTGGACTTTCCGGACCTTTCTGTCGGGTACCGGACTGACTGTTAGCTGACTCGAATTTTCCGGACATAGGCCCAACTTAGACCTAGGACGCCCCTKCTAACCTACCRGACCTACCCTGCTGGGACATGGGGCTTGGAGACTTCCTGAACTTTGGGGTCTTGGTGCCGGACTTTCAGGTGTCTGCAGCGTGAAATCCTTTCAGGAGCATTAGTATGTTTGTCATGTGCACTGTTGTATATGAACTGCCAATTTGTGTCATGACACATAGCTTTCCTTTTTAAACTAACGCAGATGATGAGATGAATAATAACTTCAATTTCTGTTCTTTCTGTTTGTCTGTTGGTGGGTGTTGGTGTGCATTGGACTGCTCATGCATGCTTGTGGCTGCGTTTGTGTGTCCATCTCTCTCTCTCTCTCTCTCTCTCTCTCTCTCTCTCTCTCTCTCTCTCTCTCTCTCTCTCTCTCTCTCTCTCTCTCTCTCTCTCTNCTCTCTCTCTCTCTCTCTCTCTCCCCGGCCCCCCCCCCCTTCTCTTCATGCTTCCTTCTCTGCCTTCCCTTCCTCCATCCCCGTTGCCATGCCGGTTGTTTGGCTTCCGCACTTTGTCTCTCACGTGTGCTCATAGATGTGGTCTCGCTTGTGCAAGAGAGGGAAGTCAGAGAGAGTGCTGTTCTTCTCTGTTCTTGCCTTTTATATCCACCCTTTGCCCATCATTTTTAACTTTTCCTTGCTTTCCCATGTTTTCAACAAGGTGAGGAAGACCGTGGGGTGATCCAGGAGCGCTGGGCGAGTGGTGGAACTAGCAGCAGAATGGGCTACCATTGGTGATGGCTTGCCTGCTATTTATGTTTCAATGGAGAATGTTAAACAGGCATGCTTGAGCTCCCATGTTCATGCTATTGGCTGTCTGGTGTAGTTGGGTTGCATGTGTAGACCCTACTTCTTGGGTGCCACCACACTGGATTGTCTTGAAGTAAGGGGAGTTGTGTGTGGAGGACGTAATTTGCAGGCGTTATCTTCCTTGATGGCCAAGATATCAGGGAGTTCACTCTCAGGCGCCTCCGCCAGCTTGTAAGCATCGTTCCCCAGGAAACGGTATGTGGCATCCTCAAGTGTTCTTGTTTCCTCCACCTCCCCTCTCCCCATGAATGATTCTGATAATAAAAAAGAGGGTGAAAAGCTCCTGGTCAACTCCTTAGCACCGTATTTTAGCAGTGCTTTGAACTCATGGACAATAAAGCAATAGTTATGGGTGTCTGCCATAGGGTCAGCAGCCTGGTACACCCCCAAGGATTCTTCTGATTGTTTCAGTTTGGTGATGGTTTTCTTATGGTGACTGGTTTTGATTGTCTCAAACTTTCAATTGATGTTCTTTGCAATTTGATTCATCAACTGTTTTGATGTGAGCACTCTGATGAGTGCATTCCTGATTGCTATGGATGCCATACTCTATGCAAATGGTATCGAGTGTGATCATATCCTTTGTAATCATGCGGTTGGGTTTTCTATTGTTCTCTTGAAGTATCCTAGTAAACCCTGAACATGCATGGACCACGCTGCTGGGACTAACATTATATGACTTGTCAGAGGACGTGGAGTAGTCGACATCAATGTGGGTCTTGTCTTCTTTTTGGTGTTCACTGTTCATTGGTAGTCTGCAGGGTGTGTAATATGCACAGGTCTAGGGAGATATCCCGGGCGACCAGGTCCTGACGTCACACCCGGTTTGGCGACCGGGCGCCCGGCCGGGCATGACCCCCGGGCATGGTCCTGGGCAGCCCGAGCGCAAAGAAAAAAAAAAGGAAAATCCAAAAAAATATGGGAAACAAATATGTTGTGTAGAATTGCAATAAAAACAACTTTTGGCTGAGGGTCACATCAGAATTCCTCACGGAACTGAAGATGCAAGGAAGATGAGCAATAGCAAACTTCAGCAGTCAAAGAGCATCATATACACAAGACCAGATAGTCGTGACCTCAAACCAACAGCAAAATTGCATCACAAGTTTCACCAAATAAGAAGACACCAAGAGCTCATAATTGACAATGCTGGTAAAGTCTCATCATCATCATCAATGAAGAACCAATGTTGATATCCTACCTGGCGCTTGGCGCCCAGACTACAGATGGCAGATCCTATCTAGCCTAGACTACAATGCCGAATGATGATGACAACAGCTTTCCCGAGGTACGAACATACAGCGACCAATGTCGCACGCTTCCAGCACCAGGTATGTCTCTCGCCTCACTCACAACCTCGTTCCCCAACACACAGATGCCACTTGCACCCAAGGACCACCCTGCGCCACACCCNTTCCAGCACCAGGTATGTCTCTCGCCTCACTCACAACCTCGTTCCCCAACACACAGATGCCACTTGCACCCAAGGACCACCCTGCGCCACACCCAACTTAGAGCAGCGCAGCTCGGCTATGGCTGCCTGCTCCTTCCTGCTCGCCCGTGAGCGCGTGAGTGCCAGCGAGCTTCAGCGCAGCAGCGCTTGCGCAGCATGCTCCCAGCACCCGAATGCCCAATGTGGAGGCAGGCCCTTTGCTATATCGAAGTGGCCTGCCTGCGTTCAGTCCCAGGAAGCTTCCAGTAGGGCCCGGTAGTCTGAGGCCCAGCACGATAGAGAACAGGCCTTGGGCCTGAGGTGGTTGCATGCACCCAACTGCCTTTGGCCTGTGTTTGGCCCAGTACCCGTATCCAGCCCAGGGCCTGCTTTCCATACATTCACACAGGCGGCCCAGGGCCTGGGTTCTCTCAACCAACTGGCGCTGCGCAACTGGCTGAATTTCCTTAGTTGCGCAGTGGTCAAAATAGGGCCCTGAGGGCCTCGTCGAGCCTGCCTTCACTTAGGGCGGCCGACTTGCTCCAAAAAGGGGTCGAATGGGGCTCATAGAGGCAGTGGCCTCGCATTCCCTCCTTCTTAGCTTCAACAGTCCTCTGAGAAGCTCAGTCTTCGACCATCGGGCGCTTTCCTTTCTGCAGAGATTTCTTGTAATGCGCTACAACTTGAGGAGCGGTCTGCATAAGTTCCTCCCTGGTGAACCAGCGGTCCTCCTTAGGATCAGTATGATGTCGGAACCGAACGTGGTACTGCAGCTTCGGTTTCGGAGGACGTCCCCTGCCTGTTGGTCTTGGAACTGGCAGCTCTCTGTGGTCCACGATATCATCGATATCCACCTCTCCATCCATGGTTGGGGGCAGCATTGAGCGACGAGATGGAAACTGATCTGTTTCTTTGAAAGGTGCAAGCTTGGAGGCGTGAAAGACAGGGTAAGTACGGAGATGACCAGGGAACCGAATTACATAGGATGGTCCATCTGGTTCAGTCCCGACAATATGTAAGACTTCCCGTGGCCCAAAGTATCGTGGCATCAGTTTGTGAGAAATCCCGTACTCCTGTCCCAGTTCTGAGGACTTTACCCAGACTCTGTCCCCAACCTGAAACGTAGAAGGTCGGCGGTGTCTATTCTCAGACTCTATCATTGCTGCCCGTGCCTTCTGCATCTGTTCTACCGCCTCCATCTTCTGTTCATACCTGTAGGCAAACTCTAAAGTGCCTGGTGCAGCAGTTGACTGATTCTCAGAAAGGAGAAAGTCTAAGGGTAGTCTAGGCTTGAAAGTCGATAGCAAACTGCTTGGGCTCACGCCGGTGGCGCTGTGTACAACGTTGTTGTACAGACTGGCGATGAGAGCAAGCTTCTCATCCCAATCCACCTGGTTGGGCTTGATGTAATGCCTCAATCGGTGTTGTACAGCGCGATTCAGTTGCTCGGCCTGACCGTTGGCCTCTGGGTGATTCCTAGAAGTCATCTGCAACTGGGTTCCCTGCTCTGCAGCAGCGGCCTTCCACAATCCGCTAGTGAAGCGGACATCTCTGTCGCTCACTATGGATTTGGGCAATCCAAAATCCCTGACCCAGTTCTCTTTGAACAATCTGATTACGTACTCGGTCTTCGCAGTCTCCAGCATGGCTATTAATCTAGCATACTTACTAAATCTATCCACAATGACGAAAATGTGTCTCATCCCACTCTTGCTGGTAACCAGCGTATCCATGAAGTCCATGGACAAACTCTCACCAGGCCTTTCCAAAACCGGAAGGGGCTTCAAGAGCCCAAGAGGAGCCTGAGTACGTGGCTTGTCTCTCTGACAGACCTGACAAGTCTCCACGCACAGTTGGGCATCTCTCATCATTGTGGGCCACCAGAACCGCTGCAGCAGGTTAGCTGCGGTCTTCTTGTACCCAAAATGGCCGGTGGCATCATGACACTCCCCTAAAAATAAACTACGCAAAGACTCCCAATTAGGCACACACAAACGTTTATTCCCTGCCTTCTCAAGGAACAGCAGGCCGTTGACCAACTCAAACTCGGCAGAAGTCCCTTTGTCCTTCGCCTCGAGTCTGCGTATGATCTCGACCATAAACGGGTCCTCGCGATAGGCTTCCACCAAAGACTGAGTAACATTTTCCACAAGATTGAACTCAGTAATCAGCGCACCTGAGAAATCAGGTTTACGCGACAAGGCGTCAGCAACCTTGTTGTACTCGCCCTTGATGTACTGGGGCTCGAAGTCATACTGCTCAATGACTTCGATCCAACGCTTGAGAGCGTCAGAGAGTACCGGCTGAGTTCTCATCCATCTCAGGATCTGATGATCAGTCCCGAGGATGAAGAACCTCCCAAGGAGGTAGTGCCTCCAATGGGTCAGAGCCTTGTAAACCGCATAGAGTTCCTTCTCATAGGTAGACTTAGCCAACTTATGAGACGGTATTTTCTTGGACATGTACTCAACTGGCGTCAACTTTTTCCCCTCCTGTTGTGCAAGTACGGCGCCTATGCCATATTGGCTAGCATCCGTAGTTACTGTAAATGGCTTATCAGGATCAGGAAGTTTCAAGACCTTGTAATGCGTCAACGCATGCTTCAGATGTTTGAAAGCAGCCTCGCATCTCTCAGTCCACTCCCATGGGGTGTCAAGCCGGGTCAGATTAGTCAAAGGGGCGGCAACTATGCTATAGTTCTTCACGAAATTGCGATAGTAGCTGGTCATCCCTAAGAAAGATCTCATCTCAATCACAGACTGACGGCACAGCGAGTCACGAATGCTGGCCACGTTCGCATCATCGGGCTTCAATCCCTCCGCAAAAATCTCATGACCCAGATACAAGACACGGGTGCGGCCAAACTCGCACTTCTCACCTTTGATCTTGAACTTGTGCTGTCGCAGAAGACTCAGGACTTTGTCCAAGTGTGCAACGTGCTCCTCGACAGTCTTACTAAAAATAAGTAGGCACATGATGACAAACTTATCCAAGTAGTCATGAAAGATCCGATTCATAGTGTGCTGAGCATTGCAAAGACCGAAAGGCATCACCACAAACTCGTACAGACCGTACCTGGTCTGAAATGCGGTTTTGTGTTGATCCTCATGGTACCCGGACTTCAGATCTATCTTACTGAAGTATGAACACCCTTGCTCTCTATCTAGCAAATCGTCGATGCACGGTAGGGGCTCTCTGTTCTTAACAGTGATGGCATTGAGGCCCCTATAGTCAATGCACATCCTAAGTGTTCCCTCCTTCTTCTTAGGTACGAATAGTACTGGAGACCCATAAGGAGAGACACTCGGCCGGATCCAACCCTTCTCTACGAGTACCTTGAGTTGTTGGTGAAGCTCATCGAGCTCGCCTGGAGACATCCGATAGATCGTACCCTTTGGGATGCTAGACCCTGGGATAATCTCTATCGCGTGGACGACCTCCCTCTCAACAACCCCTGTCGGCTCTTCAAATAGATCAGGGTACTTAGCAACTACTCCCTCTATCTCCGGCGGCATTTTCACCGGCTCGCCTGCAGCAGTGACATAAACTAGGTACATACCCTCCTCCTGATTTTGCTTATAATAATTATAAAATGCGGCCGCACACATGCATCCGTGGGACTCAATCAGAGTACTAGCTTTGAACTTACGCAATCTGGCGGTCCCTCCACCTGGCAAAGTGTGTTTGACCACTTTTCGGTCCGTGTCAAACTGGGGCTGCGCCATAGAGAGGTAGTACATACCTAACAACATGTCCATGGGGAGTTCGTCACTCACTAGGAACGAGACGCGATGTCTCAATTCCCCTGCCTCGTATGGGAAACAACACTCAACATCTTGAAGGTAGTCGTTGACTACCATGCGCTATTTGTTGGCACAGGTCGACTCCACAAGTCGACTCAGGTGCTGCACTTGCCCCTGTAAGCGCAGCCTCTCAACGCACACGCGACTAATAAAGTTCCTAGTCTAGCAAGTGTCATAATAGGCCCCGGCCTTGTGGCCGCTAATGACCACCTCGCTGACGGACATCTCACCCTTAAGGGCTTTTACCAATGTTGTCCAAGAAGCTAACGGGTCTGATCTAGACCACTCCTCCTCTAGCTCCTGTAAGGACTCAAACACATTCATCGAACAGAGGCTCGATGGGTCTGAATGTGTTTGCGGGATGACGCTGGAGTCAGTAGCTTGGGCCATGTCTCGAGTTGGTGAGGGTGTTTCCACCACCTCGACCCTAGCAGGAACAACTACTATTCCTACTGGCCCGACGTGTTTCCCGGAGCAGTGCCAGAAGTACTAGCTACATTGCTACCAACGGGATGGGAGGATCTCGACGCCTGCCCCATCGTAGGCGGGATCTTATCGGTCACCTTCTTGTTGCGACACTTGAATTGGTTATGGCCATATTGACCACAACGAATACAGGCCTGCCGTGTATACCGATCTCTCCACACGTCCTCTGTGAGACCCGCCTTCTCCCATGGGGGGAGCGTTGGGGTCAACTTGACTCCTTACCTTTTTGAGCTACGGTAGCGACTATTCCACCCCCTGAAGCTTCGACGCTGCCAGCCTCTGAACCTACTCCCTCCTGGAAGTTGTCGTCTTACTCGATGGTTGAACCATCGTTATCGACAAACATAATGCGGCCCTTCGCCTTCCAGTTGGGAGGTAGTGTTTTCTTCCTACCATCTGTTGTGGGATTATCCATGCCCTATCTTCGCGTCAAGGTCTAGGGCCTTCTTGCTAAACGAGGGGAAGGTGTGAACATTGATGTTGGCCTCACCTGCCAACTGATTCCTGAGAGGCATAGGAAAGCATCTCAGGTAGGAGGTGAGTAAAACCTGGGGCTCATAGCGCACCCCAGGGACACAGATCAGACACTCTACAGTGTCGGTGGCTTCCCTTACTGACTTGAACTGCCTCGTATGCAATATCAGGATCGCATCATTGGCCTTTTGGGCCTCCTGAGGATCATGCCACCTTTCTTCCACCAACTTGGGGAAGTCATCCAATTGTTGGGTGACTGCCTAAGCGCGAAAGTCATGACCGTATCCTTGCAGCTGTACTAAACCACTCAACCATCTTGCTGCACTACCCTCTAGGTAAGATGCAGCCACACTTCCTCGTGTGGCGAGGTGAGTTTACACTTGACATAGACCGGCACTGCCCTCAACCAAGTGTCGAGGTCCTCGCCTCTCTTATCCCACGTGAAGGGTTTAGGAGCAGCGATGGCCGTCTTTGGTACCCACTGTGTTTGTCCCGGTCCCTGCACCACTCCGGGCTGTGGACCCTGTGACACAGGCTGCTGGGGTTGTGTACCCTGCGGCTGTACAGGCTGTGAGACAGCAGGTTGCGTGGCAACCACAATCTGCAACGGAGATTGGGTAAACACTCTCTGTACAGGAACCTGCAAACTAGATCCTGATGATAACCCTCCTGATAGCAACATGCCCAGGGAAACGATCGTGACCGATGATGGGGCTACATATGGGGATACCCCAGTCACCGGTGGGACAAAAGGAGGAGGTTGAACAACGGGCCAGGCACCAGGCCCGGGCATCGATGGCGCTACCTGTGCTCGCCCAGCCAACAGGGCCGGACTTTGCTGAATGTCCTGAAGGATGGTTGTCTGATGGTCCTGCATTTCAACTACATTCAGCAGGGCAGACCGTATGGTCCTCACATCGTCAGTCACGTGCGTCAGGTCCATCTCCTCTAACTCGCTAACGTTCGTTTGTCTTCGCTGCATCCTGGCTCTTTTTCTAATCATTCTTTCTTTCTCCGCTTTTTTCTCTCCTAAGGCCTTTTGTAGCTGTGCCTCCTGCAATGCTGCTTGTTGTATGGCGATCTCATCGGAAGTCAACACTATTGGCTGGCTTGCCATTACGCCAGTGGACTGACTCAGGGTCTGCGCGACCGTTGACCCTATAGATCCTGAACTACTAGCCTGGGAACTCGGCTGCGCAGAAGTGACCATGGTTGCTGAAGCTGCGGCTTCACTTACGAATGCCCTGCTTGCCTCTTCAGCCCTGGCTCTCCTCTGCTGCTGCTGCCTCTCCCTACGCTGCCGGAACAAATATCTGTCACCCTCTAGACCTAATGCCAAATGGCCAACTGGGCGCCTTGCCAATCGCAAGATCCGGTCGTCCTCTCTAGTGTCCTCCCGTCGTTCATAAGCTACAACACTGTACACAATCTGCACTAATGCACTTTGGATGCCTACCGCAGTGTAGTGCACAGACCAATTTAAGATGAATAAATAATTAATTGGTGGCTATTTCGGAGTAGATACATTTGGGGTCAACAGGTAAGTTCAGGTTCCTACAAACAAAACTATTTTTAGTCTGATTAGTCCGCGAACAGAATGCACAATGAACAAATACAGTTCTTATTATGCTGTCTGTCAGATGTCAAATGGTTGTACACCTAACTAATCAAAACATAAAGATAGAATCATTTGTGTAGATGAGGACAATATGGAATTTTACTCAAACTTGTCACCTGAAATCTACCCCTCCCTTAGTTCCCCTGAATGTCACTTGACGTCAGCTTCCCTGAGCAATACGGAGAGCGTTGCGTGTCTAAAAGGTGTGTGTCCGGCCCACCCCTGTGCCCTGAGTATCTGCTGAGCTGGTGAGCCTTGCACTGGATTATCCTCTCATGCAGCGAGCCTTACAATCATTGGCTGATCCAGAGGCAATTTAACGACCGCCCCCAAGTGTCATCAGGAATTATTTTACGTCGCAGCAGGACGACGATCACAGCCAATGATTTCCCCTTCCTGTGTTTATTTAAAGACACCCGGTCTCGTCTCCCACTTAGGGCTGGCCTGCCCTTCAATACCCATCGAACAGCGCAGCAAGCCGGACAAAGGACAAGCAGCAAAGCATGCGTGCTCTACTCCCGATGGGTTGGCATGGTGACCGTGACCCAGTGCTTCGTCCAGGGCCCTTCAGAAAGCTCCACCCATCTTTTCCCGGATGCTCCACGTAAACATTGCCGACTCTCAAGGTTGAGCGCACTCGACACCTCACAATGAGAGGACTCTCAAGAAGGAACACACAACCTCACGGTAAGAAGTGTCGAAGAGGGTAGATAAGGTTAAGAGCAACGTACCTCAAATAGTTGCCCCCAACCACAGAGATAATCTCACCAGATGACCTGATGCCGATTGTGATGATCAGTCATTGCTTCGGCACAACCAGCTTTGCACGCCGTTCCACCTCAGCACCAATCGCACATCAGATAGTTCTCATCACACTATCCAGACCCACATTACACCACGTAGCCTTCCAGGCGATCCCCTCACCTCCTGGGTCGCCACTCACTCGTCTCCGCCCTCCTCACTACACACCACTTACGGCCCAACTCACCAAGCAGACCGCATGTATGTACCGCATTAAGCAGAAGACAAGCGCCAGATGAGCGCAATCGTACCACAGCTCCGATACCAAATTGCGAGGAAGATGAGCAATAGCGAACTTCAGCAATCAAAGAGCATCATATACACAAGACCAGATAGTCGTGACCTCGAACCAACAGCAGAATTGCATCACGAGTTTCACCAAATAAGAAGACACCAAAAGCTCATAATTGACAATGCTGGTAAAGTCTCATCATCATCATCAATGAAGAACCATGTTGATATCCTATCTGGCACTCGGCGCCCAGACTACAGATGGCAGATCCTATCTGGCCTAGACTACAATGCCGAATGATGACGACAACAACTTTCCCGAAGTACGAGCATACATCGACCAATGTCGCACTCTTCCAGCACCAGGTATGTCTCTCGCCTCACTCACAACCTCGTTCCCCAACACACAGATGCCACTTGCACCCAAGGACCACCCTGCGCCACACCCAGCTTACAGCAGCGCAGCTCGGCTATGGCTGCCTGCTCCTTCCTGCTCGCCCGTGAGCGCGTGAGTGCCAGTGAGCTTCAGCGCAGCATGATCCATGTGGAAGCGCTGCCACAGTGACTTGTGTGAGGTGGTCTGCAGTGAGCTCGAGGACGAAGTGGGCAAGAGAGAAGGAGCTTAGCCATAGCGATAGGTTAGCAGCGGCCATAGCCACCATAGCTGTAGATAGAGGGAGTGTGTGAGTGTGCAGAGTGCGTGTGGGATATCCAGGGTGATCCTGTGTGTGTGTGAACATAGAGTTGTTACAGGCGCTGTGCCGCCATAGCTATTTGAAGTGAACTTCTATCTGAACTGCGATCTTGGTTACGATATCTCTGAGTTCTGTGTGGGCGCTTGTCGCCAGTTTGCTGCGCTACCTGTTTACATGCATGCAAAGTGTGAATGAGGGTGAGTCTGATTGCAGTATAAACGAATTTAAAAGGGGCTAAAGGGGTTTAAAGGGGGGTGCCTTAGTGTGATTTGATTATTTTCTTTTTTTTAAGTTTTTAATCTTTGCGAGGCCACTGCCTCTATGAGCCCCATTCGGCCCCTTTTTGGAGCAAGTCGGCCGCCCTAAGTGAAGGCAGGCTCGACGAGGCCCTCACGGCCGAAATTTTGACCACTGCGCAACTAAGGAAATTCAGCCAGTTGCGCAGCGCCAGTTGGTTGAGAGAACCCAGGCCCTGGGCCGCCTGTGTGAATGTATGGAAAGCAGGCCCTGGGCTGGATACGGGTACTGGGCCAAACAGAGGCCAAAGGCAGTTGGGTGCATGCAACCACCTCAGGCCCAAGGCCTGTTCTCTATCGTGCTGGGCCTCAGACTACCGGGCCCTGCTGGAAGCTTCCTGGGACTGAACGCAGGCAGGCCACTTC